CTCTGTGGGCAGCGGAGGGGAGCGCGGCGCGGCGCTTGGTGAGCGGCGCACTGGAGTCGTTCCCTCAATCCGCTCTTTTCCTGCCTGTGTCACTTCCTTCCCTTGGCTCTCTCATGCACCCAGAGCTGAGCTCCGAGCTCCCGGCTTCAGCAGCAGTGACACGGGAAGCTGGGCTCAGCCTCCAGGTTAGGACCTGCCGAAATCCCAGCTTTTCTGTTTAATTTGGGGGTGAGGAGAGGTACCCCAAATATAGAAGATGCGGAAACTCTGCTTTTTCGTTGAAGTCCACAAACCAGGTCACTTGTGATTTCCTAATAATGGGACAGAACAGTGTTTTGTGACCACTGAGACTGTCCACTCAAAATGAAGCCTTTGCCAGGGCTTTCATTTCCAGAGCTTTAAGGTAGACTTGGTTTGTCTGCCTCACTTAAGGAATCTCCTATTGCTCCTGGCTCTGCTGATCACCTGCACAATCGACTTCACTGTTGGGGTAGGAGGGAACACACACACTTGTTCATCTCTTTCATTGAAACCAGGGTGGCATCTTGTCCTTTCCAACCCAAACCATTCTATGATTCTATGTCTTCTATGATCCTGCTGTGTAAAAGAGCATCCTGCATTGGAGGGGTGCACAGACTTCCTGGTTTTACCCATGTGCAGATGCTTTTCCTCTGTCATTTCGGAGCTGTTTCCATTTGGGCCACAGCAAATACACCAACTCGCTCAGAGCTGGTGTAAACCAGGTATTAGGTGAAATAACTGCTTTCTGCAGAGGAGCAGCTTTCTCTGTGAATAGCAGTTCCCTTTTATCGATGTTCTAAAAATCTTTGAGTGTAGTTTTTCAAACATGAAAAGCATTTCCTGGACAACATCTTTCCCGCACAAAGCAGAACTGTGTTTCCCAGACCTACTGGAGACCAAGCAAAACAGGGGTTCTCAGTGCACTGCAAGAGTTGCTGGGGTTTCAGCTGGGAGGGCTTTTGCATTGTGTGATTAATGGGATGCTGCTGCTTTAAAGTCAACCTATGGAAATCTTCTATTTTGAGGGAAATACAGTACTTGTGCTTCTCAACATTCAATCCATCACAACACTATCCTAACTGGAGGTGTTTTCTTTCCCTGCACAAGCTCAGATCAAAATCTGATGTTTCTTTTATGTTTTTAAAAGCTAAATACTTCATCATTTCCTATCTCACCACCATAGGGATGAATTACAGAAGGGGTGTTTTGGTGCCAGGGAGCCAGTAGCTCAGTGTAAGTCCATTATAATATGTATAATAAATGTTGAATTCACATGAAACTGTTCCACCAGCCTCTGATAGTGCATTAGGTGCCTCTTTGCATGGACACACGTCAGGTTTCAGCATCAGCAGTTTTCGTGGCAGGGTTTGGAACAGGTTGAGCTTTAAGGTCCCTTCAACATAAACCATTCTATGATTCTGTGATGATTCTGTGATAAATTCACAAGTTGCTATAGCTAATCAAGAAATGCACTATGCGCTACAGTCTTTATTAACAGATATGTGGTCGGATTGAGGCCTGTCCTCTTTGCCCACTTTCTCTTGCAATCATAGAATAGTTAGGGTTGGAAAAGACCTTAAGATCATCCAGTTCCAACCCCCCCTACCAGGGGCAGGGACACCTCACACTAAGCCATGTCACCCAAGACTCCATCCAACCTGGCCTTGAACACTGCCAGGGATGGGGCAGCCACAGCTTCTCTGGGCACCCTGTGCCAGCGCCTCAGCACCCTCACAGGGAAGAGCTTCTGCCTTGTGTCCAACCTGAACTTCCCCTGTTTCAGTTTGAACCCATCACCCCTTGTCCTATCACTGCAGCCCCTGATGAAGGTCACTCTCCAGCATCCTTGTAGCCCCCTTCAGACACTGAAGCTGCTCTGAGGTCTCCAGCAGCTTCTCTTCTCCAGGCTGAACAGCCCCAGTGTTCTCAGCCTGTCTCCATACAGGAGGTGCTCCAGCCCCTGATCATCCTCGTGGCCTCCTCTGGACTTTGCTCCAGCAGCTCAATGTCCTTCTTACACTGAGGACACCAGCCCTGCAAACAGCGCTACAAGGGGGTCCCAGCAGAGCAGAGCAGAGCAGAGGGGCAGGATCACCTCCTTCAACCTGCTGCTCACACTCCTGTTGATGCAGCACAGGACACAGGGGTCTTTCTGGGCTGCAAGGACCCAGGCCTTGGAACCCAACACCTGTAGCTGACCATTGCATTGCCAACGTTGATCTGTATTTCTGAGTGAAGTTCCACTACTGTTTAGATGCCAGTTCTTATCCGCATTCTGTGATTAACTTGATTTCTTGTCAGGAGTAGTTCTACACTGCTTTCAGAGCTGTTTTGCTTCTTGCCCGAAGGAACTCTGCCAAGACAAGCTCTTCTTCATCCTCCTGGTATCTGGCCAAACCCGAACTGCACTGTAGTGGAAAACTTGCATCCCAGCTCTTCGCAGCATGTTTTGGGTGGTAGGCACTCCAGGGATATGCCAGGCCATGGTTTCTTGTCTTTGTTGGGTGACTCCAAAGCTATGCTTAATGTCAAACAAGATTAAAGAATAAGTCAATTGGAAGCACTCCAGCAAGGTAAAAAGTTAAATCATTCCAATACAAAGTTGGAAACAATTTTAACAAAGAAGAAAGTTGTGCTGTTGATTACCTGGAACTTTAACTTCGTTCACAACCCTGGCTTCACACTTTCCTCCCACAAAGGGTTACCTAGTGCTGAGATAGATCCTAGCAATTATTTCCTTTGGCTGATGTGCTTTTCAAAAGCAACCTCTTGCTTTGGTTGTGTTACTTACACCCCTCGCTTCTTCTCCATGCTGTTGGAATTCCAAGGAGCTCTCTCCCTTCCCCACTGCCACAATGTAGTTATTGTCTCCTTTGGCTTGTCTTGGACAGCAGAGCTTTGGTGGGTTTTGATTTTGCTGCTTAATCTTCTGAAGTAACTTTCTTTTCTCTGCTCAGCTTTCTCTTTGTAGAGTTTTACTCTAATTAACACCTTCTGCAAACCAATTGGGAGACTCTGTCCATTCCCCTCTGTCATCTGGCCTGGGCTTGATGTTTCTGGGTTTTTGGTAGCACATAGTGAAGTCCATAGTGGAGGTAGCTCTGCTCTAGTGTTTGGTACTCTCAGAATGCTGAAGTAGAACTTCTGGGCAGAAACTGTCAGTTGTGGGCTTTGCTTCTGACTTAAGTTTTAGATGATGCCCCCTTACAAATAGGTGTATTTCCCTCCTGTTTTGCTGCTAAATTGTGGTAGCCGTCACTCCCAATTATTCTTCTGGGCATACTCAGAGCTGATCTAATCACTGCTTCAAATTTCATGCCTAGACTACACTCCAGTATCAGGAAGGATTTAATTGGATGTATTACTTGCCAAGGAAAGGATGCTGTATCTCTAAAACCTGTTGTATCTTGGTACGTCAGATAGAAGCCCAGGAGCCTGTCAGCACTGTGTCCAGCTGTGGGGAAACAGCACCAGAGGGACATGGGTCTGATGGAGCAAGGCCAGAGAAGGCCACGGAGCTGCTGCGAGGGCTGGAGCAGCTCTGCTCTGGAGCCAGGCTGAGAGAGCTGCACTGGGGCAGCTGGAGAAGAGAAGGCTCCTCAAGGGGACACCTTAGAGCAGCTCCAGTGCCTAAAGGGGCTCCAGGAGACCTGGAGAGGGGCTTTGGACAAGGGATGTAGGGACAGGACAAGGGGAATGGCTTGAACCTGCCAGAGGGGAGACTGAGATGAGCTCTGAGGCAGAAGCTCTTCCCTGTGAGGGTGCTGAGGCGCTGGCACAGGGTGCCCAGAGAAGCTGTGGCTGCCCCATCCCTGGCAGTGTTCAAGGCCAGGTTGGATACAGGGGCTTGGAGCAACCTGCTCTAGTGGAAGGTGTCCCTGCCCGTGGCAGGGGTTGGAGCTGGAGAAGCTCTAAGTTCTCTTCAACCCAAACCAGTCCGGGATTCTCTCATTCTATGTGTGTGCCAGCAGCAGGTCCTGAGTGATCCCAGCAGATGTGCTGTGTTACACTGGGAGCACAGCACATGAAGCAGCTCCTGCAGTCCTATTTTGACCTTAACCTCATGTGTCAACTTCTTCTACCTTTTGCAGTATGGAAGCATTTAGGATTGTTGTGGTTACAAAAGTAAAAGATTCTTTTGAATAGCTTTCAGACACTCGGAAGAACACTTTAAATTGGTTACATCAGGAATCTTCACTTCAGAAAGTCATTTGCAGTCAGTTGGATGTATAAGAAAAATCTTAGTGTGTGGGTTTTGGTGTCCTGCGTTTGCAAGAAGCCTTGAACTGAACCTGCTGCTCTGCCAGCAGACAGGGTTCTCAATGCTCTGCACTTCAGGTCTGTTCAGTAGATCTTGAAGCCTCATAAAATGGTCTGAGCTTTGATCCACCAGCTTGTTTTGGGGGCAGAGAGGAATGCGTTGGGGAAACCAGTGCAAGAGGGTTTGTATTCAGGGATATTCGAAGGTGACTCTATGTCCAGATTCTCATTTTTCTCTCTCCTGGCCATGGTTTGTTCCAGTAGGAAGCAAGAATTCTGAGTTAAGAGGATATAAAATTAGAAAGAACAGATCCTTCCCAGGTTTTCCTTGGCAGAAGCACATCAGTTTGCTCTTCCTACATGCCCTCTGATGATCTAACACATCTGTCCAAGTTGTGCTGCTGGTTGTGAAGCTGTTTTAACAGAACTAGGGGTCGGGAAGATTTATTCTAACCCTTACTATGGCCAGATCCTTCTGTGACATTGGACAAGTGACTTAAATGTTATCTGTCTCTTTACTCCTTGATGTTATTAGGTTGACTTTGGGCTTTCAATGACTAAATGAAATTCCAGTGTATTTGCAAAGATCCTAAAAAGGATTGTCTCTCTATGAGCCAGCAGAAAACAAGTGCAGGTGTGTTACAGTTGATTCTCACCCAGGCAACTTACTACTGAAATTCTTGTGCATCACAGATGAACAAGAGGCCTTGAAATCCATCATGAAGGACCTGGTAGCACTCCAGATGAGCCGACGGCACAGACTGACTGGATATGATACCATGAAGAATAAAGACACTGCTCACTCCAACAAACAGGTAATAAACCACTTGGTGAGTCCTCAAAATCATTATGTGGAGGTGGAAGGGGCAGAGTAGTTTAACAGTGGGTCTGTTGCCTCTGGTCTGTCGTGGGCTTACACCAGCCAGAGCATCACCAGTGGATTAACTCCCTGTTCTTGCTCTGGCCACGTTGCCAACTTGGTAGCTCTTTGCTTACCTTTATATTCTGCCTTTCCCTCCTCCCATGTTTTAGGTGGGATTTGGTCTGTGGAGATTAGATAAAAGGTTTTCCAAGTGGTTTTCTGGTTTTGTGATCATATTGCCTTTTTCTTTTCAATGCCTTCTGTTAAAGAAGAAACACAATGCCAGCAGTCCCCCCGTCCTGGGCAGCCCTGCAATCACCACCCAGTGTGCCTCTGCAGTGGAAGAGAAGAAAATCCCGGTAAGAAAACTGGTTTCCTGTTCAATATTAGCAATTATAAATGAGGAGCAGGTTTGAAAGTTGTGCGCAGTGACCTTTATGGAATTCATGTAAGCAGGTGTGGGAGGCCAGGAAAGCTTTTCTTTCCTCATTTTGTCATGATGTAGCAGTATGATGCACTTTTCATTGCAGTGGAAGTAATACTTCAATTCAAAGCAGGGAATTGAAAAGCTTCATGATGAAAAGGAATCAAGTATTTCCATGTCTGATGCAAAAGGAAGTCACTGCAGGTTAAAGCTGCAGAAAGCAGTGTCTTGGGTTCAGTTGGATAATGAACTAATGCTGGTCTCATCTTCACATGACTCGGGCTGCATGTGAATACAGAATGAAGATCCTGGTAAAAGGTCATTCAACTGAAGTTGATCCAGGAAGAGCAGTGAAGAGGATTGTCCAAAAGGACTGGCTCTAGTGGAACTGTACTAAACCTGGAGTGAAAAAGGAAACAGCTATTTGCAGGTGGATAAACAGAGGCAGTGTCTTTAATGGGGAGGATTCTCTGGAGTTACCCATCATACGTCACATGAGGATGGGAATGAAACTCGCCCCTTTTGGGTATGGAGATGTGAAGTCCATTTTTCCCAAAGAAACACTTTTCCCAAGGTAGTAAGTGGCAGGGTCAGTGCTTTAAAGTCTCTCTAAGTTCATCCAACGTTGCTGGAGACTCTTTTTGTAGAGAGGACTATTGCATTGGCTTTCTGGTAGAAAGCAAGGACAGAATGGGATTGCCCTGTCAGTATATGCTGCGTGTCATCTGAGTGAAACACTTCAGTGCAAAAGCAACAATTTCAGTCAAGACTTGGTGTACATTACTGCCTGAATTAAATCAAGTTACTGGCAGTTAGACTAATGTTAGTTAACAGGAGAAGTTGCCTGTATCAGTAAAGTAACTCTTTCCAGGTTTATTCATATTACAGGCTTAAGGTTTTTGGAGCAGGCTTTAGAGTTCATGTCTGTCTGTTCCTTATGCTTTGTCTGCTCATAATCTCCTTGTTCAGCTGGGAGCTGGGATTTCCTTGAATGTGCCGGGCAAATCCGTAGATGGAGGAGTACAAAATCCTTTCCAAATCACTTTGAAACATAAATTCAGTGCTGTCTTAAATCAAAATCTGTGGTCATTGTTTATGATGCAGCACCACAGAACTGGAATGCCAAAGTGCTAAACTTGGATTTGCTTTTTTACTCATCTCTTAGGATAGTTTATGTGAGTTGCTTTAAAAAATGGCTTATACAGGTGGTAGGTTCACTGCTTTCAAAGGAAACCAAAAGCACTTGATGTTTAACTCCTCCAAGTTCCTTCTGAAATGTAAAAGCCAAGATCACTTTGTACACCTTTTCTTAGACACGAATGGCCAACGTCTGATCCTTTCGGAAGAAACATCAGGAGAGAGATGCCAAATTCCAACCACCCCCCTTCCTTTTGTTACAAATTAGAGGTTTGAAAGCACACAGTGGAGCTGAGGAAGGTATTTCGGGTTGCTTAGGTACCAGCAAGTGGAAGAAAGGTTTCCAAAGAGCCTTAATTTCCCAAACATCTGAATATAAAGGGATCATTCCTCCATCTGTTATGTGCAAGAAACAGCTGTGCCATCACTGGCTGGCTGGTGGGCATCTTTTATAGCTCCTTATTCCTCTGCTGTCTGTTGCATTTTTATCTTTACTCTTCAATTAAAATTACTTCTCTTTCTCTTCCCACGTTGGAGAAAAAGTCTTTACTAGAGCTCTGTGTAAATCACCCGCAGAAGAGCGCTGCTCTAATGGGGACCCTCATTTGTCGTGCTCAGTTCTGTAGCCAGGGTGCTCCTGCAGGAATACTGTGTACTCGTGGTGAGTGCATGGGTCCCTTTGAACTGCATTCTTGACCACTGGGCCTGCCAGATACTTCCTCTAGCTGAAGAGCATTTCCTGGCCCCATTTTTTTGAAGTTCCTCGATGTATGATTGCCTATTGTCTAAGGCTTTCACAGATGGCTTAATCTATTCCAATCACACAAATCGTGCAGCAGAAATGATGGAGTCCCATCAGATCAGATTTTTGCCCTTTTATTTTTATCTTTGTGACCTAAATTGGGATTTGAACTTTGATCTCCAGAGTTGACAGTTCAGAGCATTGACTCTTCCGTGCCACAGAGCATCTTTGGAGTGAAGTGCATGGGTTGCATGGTCAGTGCTTCTAACCAGCTGCCAGATATGGATGATGATCCCTTTGCACTTTAATAGTCAACTTCTTTGTAACTTCAGAGGTTGGAGTTTCAGGTGCTGTGTTTTTGCAAAAGCAGAGATTTAATCTATGTTTTAAGAATAAAGAATGTAGCACGTTCCCTGGATCTCTCTCTTTTTTCCCATAGAATAAAACATGGTTGCTTTGAGAATGCACAGAGAAAATCGGCTTCGGTTCAGATGAATGCACAGTTGGGCTCTAGTTAAGATTTTGCCATGCAGTGTAACAGATAGATTAGATTTCCCTATAGTTCCTCTGTTTAAGTGACAGTTAATTAGAATTACAGCTTAGTTTTATCATAGAATCATGGAATGGTTTGTGTGGGAAGGGAGCTTAAAGCTCACCCAGTCCCAACCCCTGCCACGGGCAGGGACACCTTCCACTAGAGCAGGTTGCTCCAAGCCCCTGTGTCCAAGCTGGCCTTGAACACTGCCAGGGATGGGGCAGCCACAGCTTCTCTGGGCACCCTGTGCCAGCGCCTCAGCAGCCTCCCAGGGAAGAGCTTCTGCCTTATATCCAACCTGATCTTCCCTGTGTCCTATCACTACAGTCACTGATGTCAGCCCGTTTAGGCACTGGAAGCTACTCTAAGGTCTCCCTGGAGCCTTGTCTTCTCCAGGCTGATTTTACTCCCTTCCTTCTCTTTCTCCTTTGGCAATTTCTCCATTCCTTATGGTGTCAGCCACTTGTCCACAGTCTGCTTCAGCTTCCATGGAGAAAGTCATCAGACTTGTTGTGTCTTGGTTAGCCTTTTGAGGCGGTGATGCCAACAGCTATCACAAACTGACCTGCTTTGTGTTTGGGCCTTAAGATCATATTCTATCCCATTCGTGCGCTGTTGTGTGTGCACTGTGAACTAACCTTTTGTTCTCTCTCCTGCAGAACGATGTAAGGATCAAGTTTGAACACAACGGGGAAAGACGGTGAGTCTGTCTTCACTACTGGCATCCTTTGCCTTGTAGAATAATACAGTCATCAGTAATTTAGGTTCAGTCTTTTTTTGGCTTCATTTTCCTTGTTCCTGAATGGAAAACACACAGGAAAGGCAGTAGCAAACAGGCCTTACACAGCTCGGTGTGTCATGCAATGCTTTCCTTTGATTTATATCCACAAGAGTTATTTGTGAGTTGCAGTAACATTAAAAAGCTGATAGTCTTATTTCAGATATGTTCCCTTTTGGTTTCATTTAATTAAAGCCAAATTAGTGGCATTCTTTTGTAGTTTCTCACTTCCTGATGACCTCTCACTATCACTGTCCTGCTGTGGCTGAGCAACACATACACCAAGGGAGGATTATTTCTTCTTATTGGTGTTCCCATGTTATTTCACCTGATTCTTGATTTTGAGAGACTTCCTATTACCAAAACTAGAGTTAACTGAATTAGAATCTTCAGTGTTTGCAGTGGATAAAATTGCCCAGATATTTCCAAGGAGGTCTCAAAAAGACTCTATTTGCCATCTAATTGAGAGGAGCTCTAGATACTGTTGTGTGGACACACAGGAAGGCTCCAAGCTTGTTTGCAGCCTCTTTGAGGCTGCTCTTGAGGTCTCACTGAGGGGAAAAAGGGATCCAGCTTACTTTCTTGAAGAAGTCAGTTGCACTGTAAGCATGAATTTACGTGCTGCTCTTCACAGACATCCTATGGGAATCCTTTGGCTTCTCCCTTCCCTGATACTACTTTCCACATTGGAGTAGGTCACGCTTCACAATGAATGCCAATTTAATGTTAATAGTAGCACAGTGCACGTTGGACGTAGTGAATGAGCTGCCACCTTTGCCAGCCAGATCTTCTCAGCGCTCTCCTGTATCAGAGGCATTGTGTGGGCTACAGCAGAGCCACTGTGGGACGTGTCACAGCTTCTTGTGATACCGTGTTAGGACAAGGGGACTCGGAAGCGATGTCTTGTCCCACGGAGCTGTCATCATGCATGTCTTCTGTCTGAGTGCTTTTCAGATGGCACAGAGCTCAGGGAGAAAGAAAGGGTGGGGTTTTTGTCTGAAGTAATGTTAAAATGAAAAGGTTGATTGTGTGTTAGTCTAATTATGCAGTTACCCTCGCCTGAATTCCCCATGCCCAAAGTGGTATGCAGTTACAGACAGCAAGCTTGCACTGAGAATGTAAGTGTGTGTGCTTGGTTTCAGAGGAGCTGCCAGATCTAACCACAAATATTTAAGGTGGTCAGGCAGGAATGGGCTCCTTAAACGCTGCAGCCCATGATTTTGTGTTAGAAGAGTGCACAGAGGTTTTTAAACTAATAGAGTTTGTGGCACCTGAGAACAGCACTGCTTTTGAATGCATTGAGTGTAGAATGGAAGCCTTTATAAGGGGCTTCAGTTCAACTGAGAGCTAAATTACATTTGTATGGTGCCAGAGTACTGTAATTTCATGGATGGGTTTCTTGGTAATATGTCGAAAATGTTATTGTGGGCTGCTTTTTAACAAGGACAATTCTTTCTAAAGAGCTGAATGTTGTAGGTCTGGGAGCAAGATGAGCCCTTCCTGGGAAGGGGCTGAGGAAGCCAGTGAACACTGGAGCTATTTAAGACAAAAGCTGCATATTGTGAAAGGATACCCAGTGCTGGCAAAGCATTCTGATGGACATCTTGGCAACTGAGCCTTCTATCCAAAGCATGAACTTGTGTGAGCTTCCCCAAAGGTGATTTGGGGTTTCACTGAGCTCAGAGAGTTGCCCTTTTGAGTGAGATGGGTCTTGAGTTTCTGTGGTCCATTCAGGTCTTCCTGTTTCTGCTTGATGGTAAAATTGTTAAACAGTGCTAATAATCAAGCTTTTTGTGGCAGGATTTCAGCTATGCCAAAGCAGAGTTGTTTCGGGTTCAAGGAGAAGGACTTGGGTTGGTTGGTTGACAAGAAGCTCCCCATGACCTGGCTTCAGTGTGTGCTTGAGCCCAGACCCCCCCCATGTGCTGGGTGCACCCCCAGAGCGTGAGCAGCAGCTCAGGGAGGGGATCCTGCCCCTCTGCTGCGCTCTGGGGAGACCCCCCCCTGCAGCACTGATCCAGCTCTGGGGAACAGCACAAGAGGGACGTGGAGCTGCTGGAGCGAGGCCAGAGGAGGCCCCGGAGCTGCTGCGAGGGCTGGAGCAGCTCTGCTCTGGAGCCAGGCTGAGAGAGCTGGGCTGGGGCAGCTGGAGAAGAGAAGGCTCCTCAAGGGGACACCTTAGAGCAGCTCCAGTGCCTAAAGGGGCTCCAGGAAACCTGGAGAGGGGCTTTGGACAAGGGATGGAGGGACAGGACAAGGGGAACAGCTTGAACCTGCCAGAGGGGAGATTGAGATGAGCTGTGAGGCAGAAGCTCTTCCCTGTGAGGGTGCTGAGGCGCTGGCACAGGGTGCCCAGAGAAGCTGTGGCTGCCCCATCCCCGGACGCGGAATTTGGACGAGCCTGCGTTGGTGAAGGGTGCCCCTGCCTGTGGCAGGGGTTGGAGCTGGAGGAGCTTTAAGCTCCCTTCCAACCCAAACCAGTCTGTGATATGATATATGACATGATATGATAGGACATGGTACGAGTTGCAGCAGTGTGGTAAGCAGCTATCAAAGTGGTTTAATAGCTTGCAGAAGGATGGTGCCTGTCAACTGTGTCCCAGAGCTGTTTGTTCAACCTGCGCCCAGTGAAGACACCGTGTGGCCTCGTGGCTCATGGAAGCAGATGGTGAGAAGTCTGGTTGCAGGAGCCCCAAGGCAAGAACAACCAACCATCTGGGCCTTGTGCAGCAGAGAGATGAAAAATGGGTTTCTGAGCAGTTGATGTCCTTGGTTTGTTAGAATAGTGGGTTGTAAAGTGTAGTTCGTGTTTGAATCCTCCGGTTCTTGTCCCAGGATATTTTACTCCCTGATTCTTCTGAAGAGGGTGAAACTTCTGAGTACTTGGCAACTTCCTACACAGGAATTTTGCAGCAAAATCAAGGGGTTTAGATGCTTTGCTGGAACTTCATATTACTTCTTTGCCTAAACCATTCGAGTTTCTTTTCCAAGGTAGGCAAAACAGCAACAAAACCAGACCTTGGGAAAGGGGGGGGGGGTTCAGATTCCTTTGTACCTCCTGCTGATGCTTCCCTCAGGAGTTCAGGACTAACTTTGCTGTGGGAATGTTTGTTGAAACCTTCCAACTGGAATCCATCTTGGAGGGTTTTAGGGAGCCCCTTTTGGGTCTGGGTACTGGCCTACTTAAAGCAAACACTCATTTTGTTCTTTTGGGCCTTCTGCAAGGCTGAATGCAGCTCTCACTGAATGTGTTTGTGTTTTGTGCCTGAGGCAGTATTCTTTAAGCCAAAGTGCATAGGAGATCCATATCCTGTTATGTAAAAGACATTTGTTCATAGATACTCTTCTATCCAGGGACAAAGGCATTCCCTCTGTTTGGTATCTTCAGTTGAATATTGCATTTTGAAATGGGCCGGAGCTCAAGAATTCCTTGTCAAAATGATTAACAGCAACTCAAATTTGAAAGGTTCACTTCCTGCTTGAGGATGAAAGGAGAACATTCAAATGTGTCTTTCATGGCTTAGCCATCTAATTTGATTGCATTGTCAGGGATATCTCTTTCATTCCAGAATTATCCCATTTGTCCGTCCCGTGCGCTATGAAGACGTGCAACAGAAAGTGAAAACAGCCTTTGGGCAGCCACTGGACCTCCACTACATGAACAATGAGGTACAGAGCGTTGTTCTCAGTGCTCAGAGCATGTATCTCACTCTCTGGGTGACACCTCCTTCTCCCATCCCAAATTCTCTAGCCTTAAATTTAACTTTCAGTTCTTCCCTCTAATACCAACCACAACGGAATCACTGCTTGGGAGGAAAACATGCTGATACTGACAGAACATCACACTGTGTGTCTTGCATGAGCATCAGCATCTTGCTTCCTTCTACTGTATTTCTTGGGAGACTCTCTTGGGCAAGTAGAACCAAGGTATTTGAAGTATTGTGACTGTTGAAAGCAGCTTCTGCAGGCCAACAGATGTACAGTCTGAGGACTGCAGGCAGTCCCAGAGCCATTTCTTCAGCTGCCCGATGGCAGAGGCAGTATTTTGTGGTGGTTTGTGCTGACCAGCAGCAGCCATCCAGCCTTTTGTAACACACTTACCTCCTGCTGGCTGCAACACTTGCTGCTTATTGCCCAGCTATTAGAGGAACAAGGGGAGTTAGAGAACAGGGGGGCTCCTTGGTGTGAGTTGTGGTGTGTGGGCACTGTCATTGGTAAAAGAAAATGTCACAGGGAATAACATTTGTCTCTGAGGAACTGGGTTGTCCATGTTAATAATCTCAAGTGTTTTGTTGGCTTTCTCACTCTGGACACCAGGCTTTTCCTTGTTTCTTATTGTTGTGGTGGTGCCCTCCTACCGTTCAGGACTAAGAGAGATGCAAAACCCCATTCACCAGCAGGAGCTGGACAAAAAGGAAAAAGGTTCTTCAGTGTTAATAACATGCACATTTCAAGATGTGATTGGAATAGAATAGAGGGTGTCTGAGAATAATTCCATGGGGTCTGAGTAAGTTTTAAATCCTTCTTTGATACCCTCTTTAAAAGTCTTCATCTTCTTCACACCAATCATTTTCCGAAACCCAATTCTCACTTGATCATTAGATCTGGATTTGTAAGTATTCTGAGACAATGTTCTCTTACTTGTTCTTTGCAAACAGTAAATTCAGGTAGCAATTAATATTGTTGTGGATGGTACAAATTCCTCCAAGGAATGGGTCATCCATTTCTTTGGCATGGAATAAAAACCTTGCTAAAAAGAACAAGAAGACCTTTCACTGTAATGGAATAATTGAGCCATCAGAATGCTATCTTACATTCGGGGGTTTTCCCAATGTCTATTTAAATACCTGTTGTAGGTTTATATTTCCTGTCTTTTCTAATGATTTTTTTCCCCTGTTCTTTATTTTGCAGCTGTCTATTCCTTTGAAAAATCAAGATGACCTGGATAAAGCAGTAGATCTCTTAGACCGAAGCTCTAATGTGAAAAGCCTTAGAATATTATTGCTGTCTCCAGACAGAAACCATGTAGGTAACAACTTCTGTGGCTGCAGCAAAATGAGGGGTTTTTTTTACCTTTAAGCCTCTGAAACTTGATGTTAGCACCCAATAACTGTATTCAGAAAACACTTCATCAGTTTGCTTGGCAGAATACTTATTTTACCTTTGATTAATAGCACATTTGAAAGCATGTGTTGCCTTTCGGAAAGCACAGGTTGTCCTTGCAGACAAGCTATTAACACTTTGTTCCTGCATGAGGAGCCTGAGGGCAGCTCCCAATGGTTCTTCATTCTGTAGCCTTGAATCCAGCCTTACTCCCTGGAAACTAAGTTGCTTTTTGCTACTAATGGTGTATTCACACTTAAGATGAATTTGATTGTGTCTCGCTTCACTTTCTGATACCAGAAGTGACTGTGGCAGTGAGTGTCAACAGAGTTTGTTCTTTTCAGCAGAAAAGATCATGACATGAGAAGTAAGTCTTGAAGTCAAGCTCCCAGAGGTGCCTGTTTTGGTCAGTGATCTGAACCACAAGCTGAAGAGGGCAAAAAGAGTCTGAACTCTCCCTTATTCCTGATCTGTTCCTGGAGAACTTTGTTCACTCAACCAGTGCCTGGTTTTCAGAGTTAAGGTCATACAGCTTTTCAAGCCAAAGACCTTGAGAGCTTAGATGTTTTAGCTGCAAATTACCAAATTCTCTTGAAGAGACTTGAAAGCTCTGTTTGTAGCAGCTTGTTCATCTTGAGTGTTCATCCCTGTTCAAGTTCCACACCTGTAATCCTTGGAACTGTCAGGAGAACATAAATATACTTCTCACTATATGATAGTCCATGTTAATAAAAATACAAAGACCTTCAGGAGTGTTAACAGACCTTTCCCAAATAACTGGATGCCAAAAGCTGGAAAGGTGTAGGAGGGGATGATGTTCCAGTTACTGGCTGTTCTGAAGACAATACTTGGCAAGAAGGCCTTTGGTCTGACCTAGCATAGTCAGACTTTGTCCTGTGTTGTCAGGAAACAGTCTGTAAAAGGTGGCCTCAACTTCTGCTATAACACAGTAAAACAATCCTGGTTTACAGCCCTTTTTTAATTTCAGTGTCTGCAGACAGCAAACCCGATGCTAAATGATAGTACCCCAACTTTACATAAGCCACTTAGTAAATCTCATCCCTGCACAGCCAGGAGCCAGCACTGTGGTGGTGTCCTTTTATTAGCTGTTTTTTCCTCTTTTGCTCAAAGCAGAAACAAACAGCAAAGTCTTCAGTAAGTGCCACTGTTTCCCCCTTCTCCTCCAACTTCCTCTGCAGCTCTGGACAGGAGAGCCCTACATGTGATAAAGCAAAAGCCCACAAGTTGAAGGAGGTTTCTTGGCTGCATGATCTCATCCCACTGAGGGAGTGGGAAGCGTTATTTTTCCTGAAGTACAGGATGCAGATTTTGTTTTGGTTGTGCTCTTTTTTTTGCTGGGGATGGAAAGGTAATGCCATGACTTTGGCACATGTATCTAAACCAAATTAACTCTACAGCAGTAGCTGTGTGCCTAGTACTGAGATCCTGTGTTGGTGAATAGCATTTATACTCATCTGGCTTGTGCCTGTTTCTGTGGCTCACTTGTGCTTGCTTTTATCAAGCAGTTCACTTCTGGTTTTGGTCCTTTCTTTCTCTTTGGAAACTAAGGGAAGAGCTGGTGAAGTTGAACATCTGCAGTACTACAGTCAGCCTGTCCACAGGAGTTGGTGGCACCTCTGCACCCTTTATTCAGCTCCCATGAGTCTATCCATGGTAGAGGTTATGTCATGTACACCATGCTCCCTCCTTACCCTGTGCAAGGAGAAGCTGGTGTCCTGTTCAGTCCTCTGTTAAGAGCCCTTGTTCCCTGTATCACCCTGTATCACACAGAGGTGTTGGCTGCCTGAAGCTGCAGCCTCGATAGTTCCAAGTGAGCACCCTTGGGAGTCCATGGTGGCTTTGCAGTTACTCGTGGCACAAAGGCAACAGTTCTCTTGGGCAGCATCCTACTGCCCTCAATTGCAAACCCATCCTGCAGTTCCTCTTCCTACCAAGCATGCTGGAGTTATGCCTTCTGTCTTGTGAAACAAGTCAAGGAGAACTCCTTTAACGTGTCTCCTTTCATTCCTTTTCCTGCTTTGAATGAGCTGAAGGCACCATGGAAAAATGATCCTTAATGATGTTATGTCTAGGGAGGGCTGACTAAAACCAGCACAGCCAGCATTCATCTTGGCATCTCCAAACCTGTTCTGCTCTTAGACTCGGTAGAATTTCTTTTCACTGAGACCATCTGAATTGTCAGTTCACTTTGTAAAGGTTGCGGGGAGTCAGGTTAGTGTCTGACTGCTTCCAAAAGGTGCAGGGCTCAGAATTTCTCTCTGCTGGCCAAGGTGGCTGATAGAAACTGTAGGTTCTTCCATGTTCTGGTCTCTGGAGGTGTTAGGAGCCCCTTCTTGGTTTCACAGGTGGAAGACAAACATGGAGGCTTGTCAATCCTGCATTGGATTTGAGGCTGGAGGGGAGCATGCTCTAGTTGTTTGACTCCTGTCTTACACCAGAACTGTAAAGTTTGCTCTATTGCTGCCTTTATTGTTTGTATTCCATGAAGTTACTAAGATTTCAGGCTCTGGAACTGTTTCTCAGCTACTTCCCTGCTACTAAACATAATGATAGTTTTGAAACTGTGGCCAGACTGCTCCTGAGGCTCATTTCATTTTCTTTTACCCAACAGACCAGTTCTTCACCCCATTCTGGACTGCCCAAACAAGTCAGGATTAAAACTTCCCAATCTGTGGGGGATGTGAGCACACCCTATCAGCAGCCAGAACCCAGAAGCAGGCATCTGTCTGTCAGTGAGTACTTTTGCCACTCCTTTGGTTTGTGAAATATGTCTTTTGGGTGCAAGGATTTATGGTATAGTATTTAGGAAAGCCATGAGAAACTGAAAGGTTATTCCAGGACAAAGCAGTTCATTTTCAAAAGCTCTTAGTATATTTACAATAGAATGTTTCAAAGTTCCTTACTAAGTTGTTGAACAGCTGAGGAGCTGCTAAAGGGGATGTCCTAAAGCCAGATTCATTGAGGTTAGACATTTGGAAAGCTTAAGCAAGTCCATTAAGCTTTTTATTTAGATTGGCAATTCCAGTTCATGAAACCTACATTTGATTTGGGGTTTGCTTTTTATGTTGGGTTTTGGAATCTCTCCTCACTCCTGTAATGAAGCATTTTAGCAGCAGCACAGGAATTGCCACTGCATATCCAACCTGTGCCCTACATGCTGCATTCCCCACCCCTTCATTCTCATCACTACCAGATGAGCACAAGGCTCAGATCATAGGTGAGTGGCACAGCTGTGCAGAAGGTAATGAGAAAAGTGAGTAATCTGTACCTTTGTCTCATTTCCTTTGTGTTTCTGTTGGCTTAGTGAACTCACGGCCAGTGGAAAGGTCTGTGCAAGACTCCTCTAACTTTTATGCCTTTTCTCTCTGTAGATTTGTCTGAGTTGTCCCAGTTTGTGTTACAACCTCCTGGATAACTCTACAGTCCTACTCAAACCCGTGGTTGAAGGCTGCTCAAAGCAGCATTGAAACAATGCAGTGCAATCTTAATGTCAACTAATAAATCCATTTAAACTAGAATGAACAATCTCCCTGTTGGGAGGTCTAAACTGGAGGCAGATCCACACAGTTCTGACCACAAGTAAGTGAGAGAGGAAGCTCAGTAGAGAAGGACTTGAGAATTAGATCGGTAGTTCCGAATACTAGACTTGTCTAGCAAACCTGCTTGTATCCTGTCTAGAGTCTGCTGATCCTCTTTTGTGCAGTTTGCTTTTATGAAGTAGCAAACAAAGAAGTGCTGAAAGCTTGCAAAGTACGTGACTGAAACTGGGACAAAAAGAGTTTTCCATCCTTTCCAGTTGGAAGTTAAGAATGAAAGGAGCACCATTCCTCGCTCCTGTGAAGAAGGCAGAGTATCCGTGCAATGGAAATGTGTCTGAACACCACATTTCTTTTTGTACAGACAAATTCAATGCCAGAAATACTCTATTAACAAAAAAAAATCTCCTTTATTGGCATTCTGAAGTATCCAATTACTGATGCCAAAGCTAACAGACTGTACCGAGTGTCTGTCATGGGTAAACTGTATAGTAATAAGGGGCCCCTTCTGTATTCCAGTTGTACAGACTCTTTCCTCTTATCCCAGCTTATGGGTGCTTTTGGTTACCCTGTCATTCATCAATCAAGGAAGCATTGGTTTTCTTTGCTGAACATGTCAAAGTACCAGACTGTTACATTATTAAGCAATCCAGAAGAGTTCCAGTTCTGTCAGAGGTCTGATAGTAATTTGGCAGTAGCTCAGTCTTCCTTCTCTTTTCCTATCTTTGATTTGGAAAAGGATTGTGCCCCTGTTTTGTAGTCGTTCAGGCAGAGAGGCTTTTCCTATTTGCTACCACAGCAGAAGTCAAAAGCAGCATTCAACAAAGGTTGCCTGCAGGCAGGAGATGTATCTGTAGTTCCTGTCTTCTAAAGTGGATGGGCCTCAAGCCTGCTGTCACCAAGGCAGAGGGTTGGAAGTAAAGATAACTTTTAGTTTAAAACACGAAAAAAAGCAAAAAGCTGCTCAGCATTCTGGCAGCACTTGTGTTTTTTCCCCTCACTTCCTTTGATATACACTGATTTAGTGCCGACTTCCTTTTCCTGCCCAGTGATGGTGGCCTTTCCACAATAGCAGCTGGGCCGATGCCAGCGGGGCTCGGGCTCCCTTTGGCCAGCCATGCCATTGGATAGGAAGGAGTGAAAGTGTGCTCCCGGCCTCAGTGCAGCCCCAAAGCACACTCTCTTGTTTATCTCCACACCAGTTGGCCTGTAATATCATGTGAGCCCTGCAGAGCCACTTGGCAAATCAAGTGGTAGCTTTAAGCAATAGGTTATTTTGGAGCTCACCCCCTCCGTGCACTCTAAGCCAGCATTGAGTTGTTGAGTTTCTTTTTCTTACTGCAGTCCTCCAGAAGATGTGTGCCCTGCTTTGCAGTGAGCTTCTGCTCGTGTTTGCCTTCACTCTGTACTACAATAACTGCTGTAGAAAATATTTTCCTTGGGAGAGTATTTGCTGATCTTCACCCATCTTTCATAGCACCTGAGTACACACAGATAATGAAAGGCAGCGTGGTAAAGAGCACAGATCTTAAAACGTGGGTGACCTTGAGTAGATTGGCTGAACCACAGTGTATCTTGGAGCTCCCAGGGTGACTTGGTGGGAGCTGCAGGTGGATGGGTCACTGCAGAAAGGGATTTTGTATTTTCCTCTTTCTAAAGTGTCATCAGCTTTGAGATCTGCACGTTTAAAACATAAATCCATGGGGTAAAGTTGCTCTCAGCGGGTAGCACAACACAAACTCTTCAGGTAGTACTGTGCACAGATGAGTACGATGTTTTTCTCCCCCTTGGGCCCCTAAACATCCTCTCTGCCCATCTAGCGACCTCACCTAAGTAACAGACACTGCAGAATTGACCTCCGTGGGATTTTGCCCGAGCTGCTTATATAGCTTTGTTTTCACACAGTAAAACAGGCATCTGGGGGTTCTTTACAAAGGTGACAGTGCTCCCATGTGATCCTGAAATTGCTCAGTGTGCATATAATCAGCTCATTATGACCAGCAGGA